AGCCACAAGTTTATCAGAATCAATATCAAAGATAGGAAATCTAGAAAAAGTTAAAGGTTGTGTTGAGAATGGGACCGCTTATCCTCCCAAAATCTAACAAACATACCATCACTAATAAAGATACAATGTTATTTACTGCTATGATTTAAAATGATTTAAATTAATATCAAATTTAAACATAACTTAAAGTAAAGATACAATGTTATTTTTAGTTAAAAGGTAACTCAAAAAATTTATAGATATTTCTTTTTCCTATTAATTATTTTCATCATGTAAAATATTATAATTCATGTCAGCAATTTTTAATTTAATATAATTTTAATTTTATATATAGTATTTTCATTTAAATTAATATTATTTAAATTTAAACATAACTTAAAGTAAAGATACAGTTTTATATTTAATTAGAAGGTAACTCAAAAAATTTATAGATATCTTTTACCTTGCCTTGAGTAGTTATTTTTTTTCAATAGAACTTGTGTGCATGACCACTCCAATCACATCTATTCATAAAATAAATAAATTTAGGAAGCTAATTGATAAATTACATACAAATTATATAACAACTTTAGTAAAGTTTTATAGCAAAATACCTGTTAAGACGTTAAAGTAAAGATACAGTGTAATTTTTAATTAAAAAGTAACTAAAAAAATTTATAGATATTTCTTTTTCCTATTAATTATTTTCATTATGCAAAATATTATAATTCATTTTAGTAATTTTTAATTTAATGTAATTTTAATTTTATTTTATATATAGTATTTTCATTTGTAAAGTTGTCTTTTCATTAGAAATTTCATTTAACAATATATAATAGAAACTAATAATTTTGTAAGTGTAAATTTTTTAGTTCAAAGTAAATTTTAGAGTTTGAAGTACATATCAAACTATAGATTATTCTAAACTAATTAATAAAATATTTAAATATATAAATGGATAAATTAAGCAGTTGTTGTCCTTTAAATTTTCTCTTCTTAAAAGAGTGAATTTCCCTCTTTGCAAGTTATCTTGTGCTTCTTCTTCAACATTCTTTGTAACTTTCTTTTTCTCCTTATCTTTGGGATTAGGAACCTCTGCTTCACTTCTTATTATGACAGCATGGCATTTCTCCCTCGGATTCACAATAGTATTGTTAGAGAATCTACCATCTTCCCTGTGTAACTTCCATAAATTGTAGCAATGTTTCCTCCATTTCATTCATCCTCTCAGACAGAGGTTTTGAAAATTGTGGTTCTTTTGGAGGTTGAGATGAAGAAGCTTGACAATATGATTATGGAGGCTGAAAATTGGCATTGGACAATGATGTTGCTGCAGTACTACTTTTTGATGCAGGACTTTGTTGATTCTACTAATAATGTGGTTGACTCCTATTGGCTTGATGTTGAAAATCAAAATGAAATGGAGGTTGAGACTTATGAAAATAACCCATGTGATGATCGAGATGTTTTGCATAAACATTTGTCGCTAATCCTCATTAAAATATGAAGAAATTTGTATGTAGTCTAGGAAGCAAACCTAAGTTGTTTCCGATGACTTTGGTTGAAAATATACATTAAACATGTTATAAACATTCACTATGAAAGCAATTAAAAAGGGGGGTTTGTTGATTCTAAAATTAATATGAAGAATAAGAAACAAAATTATAATGTTCAATCAATAAAAAGTGATAATCCCTAGTTCATTCATGTGGACTCTATCCCTATTCCTCTCAAGATTTAATAACCTTCCTTTCCTCCCAGAATTAGGTTAATTTAATAAGCAAAAATCAACCTTTTGCTTTCATATGAATTAAGCAATTCAATGAACTCTAATTTCTCATTCCAAAATTATGCAATCTTAGAATTAAACTAGAATTAAGCAATTCAAGTTTAGAATTTCATTAAAACGAATTAGGGTTCATTAGGTAATGCCCCCCCTCATTCAACCATTAATTTAATTCAAGAGTTTGAGAAGAAGAAATTCATGGAAGAAAAAGAATAATATTAACATTCAAACCCAGGAATTCAAGAGTCTAAATGAACTCTCTAGGGATTACAAAGGGGTTTAGCCTTCCATGAGGATGGGTCTTACAATTATCAAATGAAAATAGAAGGAAATCACTAATATCAATGCAAGAATTAAAGAAAAATAGGAAGAAAATGGAAATCAAACCCTAGGTTAGGTCCTTGGCTGTCACTCAAGGCTGACCTAAGCTCTGCAAGCGTTCCCAAAATGGTAAAAAATCTAAAAGTATGAAAATTCTATTTGTAGTGCAGTGGTCATTGCCCATAGTAGCTACTATGAAAGTCATAGTAGCTACGCGCAAGTCTGGGTCATTTTTTGCCTTCTCTGGAGTGTCCACTATGGGACCAGAGTGGCTACTCGCAACGTGTAACACCTTAAATTTAATTTCAAATAGATAACAATTTCGCAAAATTTGAATAATAAATTTCTATAAAATATTTCAAAAATAAGGAAGGATTACAAGATCATATCAAACAACTGCTACAGGGCTAGTTCAAATACAACAAATTTCAAATATTATCCTAAGCCCTATAGCAGTTCATCCGTCCCTTTACTGTGTTTGGTGCTGATCGTCTTGACTACCTGAAAAATGAATGTAAGGGTGAGTACTCTACACTACCAAATACAATCAAACATAGAGTCTCACCTTCAAACCATTTGAATATATTCAGCAAGTAGATAGTACATTCACAAGCAGCATTTCAGTACAATTTGTTTCAATTAAAATATTGATGCACTTACTGCACCTACAGCAGTTCATACTCATCATTCACAACATATTCCACCAGAGTTAGCACGCCCCTCTCACAGCACATTACGTCGGTGATTACTCGCCCCTCTTCACAGTATTTATACTGGCGACAACTCGCCCCATCCTTAGTGTTTAAACCGGCGACAACTCGCCCCATTCTCAGTATTTATACCGGTGACAACTTGCCCCATTCTCAGCGTTTATACCGACAGTTACCCGCCCCATTCACTTTATTTCATAATAAACGGCTCTTGGCCCACATTCATTTATTAAACATGGCAAATAGCTTACCATTATCCATAACACACAATAATTTATCCACAGTCATGTCATACCATATGACACCTAGCCTATGTTCAGTCACAATTCACGGCACGTAGCCCATATTCGGTTCTATTATACGGCACTCAGCCTACACTTGTTCACACATCATCAAACACAACAAATTTCATCAAATACTCATATTCTCATCCACACACATAATATTCACAAGCCCCGGCACATGGCCCTCATCACCTTCTACGACCATTTCCCTTTCCTATACATTTTCTACCCTCCAACTCAGCCACATATTCATATTCAATCAATTTTGCAGTTAATTACACGTAAAAAGAGTAGGGTAGAGTCCCCTCTTACCTCGGATTGAAGACCCACACTTGGATTCAATCTTGGACAATGTTCTCCCCACAAATTTCAGTCTACACACACGGTTAATTTCATGAGAACCCTTGAAATCACCCAAAACAGAGAAAGGGGAGGAAAAATGAAATCCTAACCCTTAAAACTCACCTCCAAGCATTCTCCACACGAATCTGAGTTCCAATCTCGCTCACAAACGGCTTTGGAGGCAATCAATCGGTGGGAAAAGGGTTTAGGGTCAAGAGAATCGAAGGGATTAGGGAGAGGATTTGAGAAATAACCTTCAAATCCCTAAGCCCTCTTTTAAAACCCCTCAGATAGCGACACTTTTGCTACAGCGAGAAATTCTCGCTGCAGCCACAGCAAAAATCTCTGACGAAATTGCACCCTGGTTTTTGCAAAATCTCGCTACAGCGAGTCTACACCCAGAAATACAGTCCCCACTGTCGCTCTCTCGCTACAGCGAGTCTACACCCAGAAATGCAGTCCCCACTGTCGCTCTCTCGCCACAGCAAGACACATCTCGCTACAGTGAGAAGGCGATAGTTTAGCCCTCTTCTTCCTAGGGCACTCTCGCTGCAACGAGAACACTCTGCACCAGCTACTTAGCCTATTCTTTCCAGCTCAGTTCAGTCATACCTGCATAACATTCTCGTATTCATTCATATACACATATATATATACTCATACATTACTACCACACATTAAAATGCCATTCGCATTCCATCATTTCGCACTCGAGTGCACATTCCAACGTTCATTTTCATATAAGTACTCACATATCTATCTACATCAACAATAATGATTAATATTATCAAAATTCGGGGCGTTACACCACGCCTCTTTAGACTGGGGTCTCTGTAGTGTCCACTATGGCTCCGAAAGTGATCACTTTGGTCTATGCTCTGATTCTAGCTTGCTGTAGTGTCCACTATAGAATCCTAAGTGGTCACTTTCAAATCAAATTTTCTCAAAGGCTAGAAATCCAAGGAATAAGCCTAGAAATTCCTGCACAATTATTCAAATAATTAAAATTGCAAATTATAACTATGTAAATCAATACAAATTAACCAAAAATTAAGAAACCTATGATATTTGACCAAAATGATGTTTTTATGTTATTTACACTTTCTAAGTCTACTTTTTCTATCAAGGGACACTAAAAAGACAAGTAAAAATCCAATAAAATGTGGATTCATCACCATGTAATTAATCTGCTCTTACGGTTCTTGTGTAATTATATCACATGCTCCTTTCATATAATTTCCTCCACAAAAATCACATATCAAGTAGTTTGTTTTTGCAGCTCCATCTGAAAAAGTATTAATTTGCTGAGTAAAGGCTACAAGTTGTTCAAAAAGCAATTGATTTTGAATATGATTTTGGGTGATCAAAGTCTCAAGCGCTTTCGCTTTAAATGCTTCCTTACTTGCAACATGTTTCTCATTGAAATTCTAATACATGCTAGTTGCCATCATGTCAATTAATTGTTGAGCTTCCTCTAGAGTTTTAGTATTCAATGTACCTTCTACTTTTGCATCTACCATGGTTCTTAAGAAAACATTCATAACATTGTAAAAAGTTTCCAACTGCATCCACTATGGAATACAGTGGTGAGGACATCTTTTAAGAAGTTCTTTATACCTCTCCCACACTTCATGTAAGGACTCTTCTTCCTGCTGCACAAATGAGGTGATCTCTCCTCTTAGTTTAGCAGCCTTTGAAGGAGGAAAATATTTGGTCAGGAACTTGTTCACAAGATCTGTCCATGTAGTGATGCTTCTTTGTGGTTGAGATTCAAGCCAATATATATCCTTGTCCCTTAGAGAGAAGGGAAATAATCTCAAGCGGATAGCATTTTCACTTACACCATTGATACAAATAGTGTCACATAGCTACAGAAAATTATAGAGATGCAGATTAAGATCATCTAAAACATTTCCAGAGAACTGATCTTGTTGTATCAATTTCACCAATGAAGGTTTGATATCAAAATTATTGGCTTCAATTGTTGGTCTAACAATACTCAAATTGTAACCCTGCATAGTTGGAATGGGATAATCTCCAAAAGTCCTTGTCCTGTTGTTTTCAACTATATTGTTCTCTTTTGTTAGTGTTTAATTCACATTTAGTTTTTCAGAAATGGATGTTGTCTTTTGCACTTTCTTTTGCAACTTCCTTTACTTTGCTTCACTCTTCAACTGCTTAAGAGCCTTGTTTGTATCTAGATCAAACAATAGAGTAACTTTATTTTTGGTTTTTCCTTGTATACAAAAAGAAAATAAACAAAATATAGATGAAGCTAGAAAATTATGGAGAAGTAAAAATGAATTACGCAAAAAATTATTGCAAAATATTGCAGAAAAGTACAACTAAATGCAGAAACAAAATGAATTATGCAGAAAAATTAGACAGTTATGCAAAAAAATACAAAATAGAATCATTAAGAATTCAACAGAAAATGATGCAGAAAAATACAAAACAGAACATGCAGGAAACATAGAAAATAATACAAACTGAAAATTACAATTACGTAGAAAAATGAAAAACAAAAATATGCAAAAAAATGTAGAAGAATACAGAAAATTTATGTAGCAAACAGTAGAAAATAATGCAGAATCTATGCAATAAAACAACACAATGTAGAAACAAAATTGAATTATGCATAAAAACTAAACAGACATGCAGAAAAATGCAAAATAACTCATGCAAAAATCAATAGACAATTATGCAAAAAACTACACAAAATGCAGGAAAAAAATTATGCAAAAAAATTAGAAAGTAAAACAACAAAAAGAAATGCTCAATCTAGCTATCTTTCTACTACTAATGATATCCCTAGCAACGGTGCCAAAAACTTGTCAAAAAGCTCAAAGAACACTAACTAGTAAGTGTACTAGGTAGTTGTAGAAAGTAATAAAATTTGTAATTCATTTGAGTCCCAAGCATCATCCTCAGGGATTAGTTCTATCAATTACCACTTTAGAAATCAATAAGTAGTTGAGCTAAACGAATTTGGAGAGATTTTAAATCATTTAACACAATTGAAGTAACAAGTGCAGTAAAATGCAAAGGTTCGGTAAGACAAAGTATAGAGTTTAGAAATAAGATGATATGTGAATAAAGTTAGGAATAATTTCACCTCTTTATCAATTGCAAAACTGAAGTGGATCTGAACTCTAAGTTCCTTAATTGATTAATGATCAATTTCACTAGATTAATCAAAGTTCAATTCCTTGACTTATTGATCCTAATATTCAATTAACTACCCTAATTCCTGAGATGTCAAACATTGCTTTAAGCATTAGAAATTAAAAGATCACAAGATTATGAATTCTTATCTCTAAGATATCCATAATCTTGACATTCAATTCAGACATGAGAAATTAACTCAACTTTCATTAATAAAAATCCTCTTGGTTCAATTCAATTGAATAGCTAATCCAAGAATTACATTAAGGATAGAATTAAATGTTCAATACAATCAAAGTCTTAAATTCTAGATCCACAATCAATTTACAATATCAAAGTCGGATCCATCAATCCTTAACAAAAAGAAATCAGAACATGTTCTTAAAAGAAAAAAATAAAGAAAGAGTAAAAGAAGAGGAGTTGCAGAATTTCTTCATAAATCTAATCCTCAGCCTAATTCCTCAAGCTCCAGAGCTTGGAACTCGCCCCCAATCTCCGTCTTTAACTCTCCTAAGGTGTAGAAATGAAAAAAATGAGAAAAGATTCCAAAACATTTGAACTTCTGACATTTTATAACTTTTCCTGCCTTTTTGATGTGTACACTTTGAATGGTTAAATTGTACACATAGAAGGTCTTCTAGAACCTTCCTAGGCTGAGTTGACCACTTTAAATGCTTAAAGTGAATACTTAAAGTGGTTCTTAAATTTTTGTCATGTGCGTTTACACTTCAAACTTTTAAAGTGTACAAACGCAACCTTCTTTCCTGGATTTTACCTCTCAAGTGTTCACTTTGAGTGTTCAAAGTTTTTATGCGCAGTTGAAGTGTTCACTTTGAGTGTTCAGAGTGTTTACATGCAACTTAAATGTTCACTTTGAGTGTTCAGAGTGTTAACACGCAATCTTCACTTGAGTTTTCAACTTTGGAGTGTTCACTTTGAACACTTAAAGTGTTTATGCTTAGGCTTCACTTGAATTTATACCTCTAGAGTGTTCACTTTGAACAGTTAAAGTGAACACTTTCGCTCCATTTCGCTAAATCTAATCCAGAGTTGCCACTTTCTTCTATTTTCTCTTTTTCAATCCTTATCCTCAAGACTCTTAGCTTGGAATCTCCTACAAAACTAGTTCAATCAACAAAATTACATTAGAATTTTATTAAATTCACATAATTTGAGTTGCTAAAGACAAATATTGACTTTATTCAACATTGATATATTTTTGTGCAGTTTTCACTTTTCAAATTAAAAACTACTTAAAAACATTGTAAAATTTAGAGTTATCACCTTTCTTATTTTATTTGGCTATTTATATTTTGTTAGCAGTGGACTATGTCTCCAAGTGGGTGGAGGCAAAGGCCACTTGTACTGATAATACTCGTATTGTTGTAGATTTTGTCAAGTCACATATATTTTGCAAGTTTAGATTTCTTAAAGCATTGATCAGTGACCGAGGATCACACTTTTGCAATCGCACCATGGATGCCTGACTTCAAAAGTTTGGGTTTGTGTATTTTGAGTGAGACACTTTACTGATAAATCTACATTTTACCATAATTTTTAGTATATTTTTGTTAATAAATAAGTAGTAAAGTGCTAAGTAAATTTGGAAATATCATAAAAATTGCATCAATATTCATAATTGTGTAAATAGTTTTCATTTTTAGATTTTTAGTCCAATTCTGAATAATTTGACATAAAATGACTTAATCCTTGTGCAGAAGCTTGAGCTGAGAGTTTGAGTTGAAGATTGAAGTGAAGAAAGTAGAGGAATTGATCTTAAAAGATGAAGAATCAAGTGTTATGTGTAGGGCGTAATCACTCTGAGTACATAGAGTTAACACTTTGAAGAAGGAAATTCATGAAGACCAAGAGAGTAGCACTTCAAGTGTTCAGAGTAGCTATGCAGTAAGCGCGTAGCCACTTCAAGCACTGATAGTAGCTATGTGTGAGGATCTTTCTATGTAGAACGCTTGCGCATAGACACTTCAACCACTTAAAGTGTTTACGCAAAAGTAACAGAATTTTAAATACCACTTCTAAGTGTCAACTTTGGGTGATTTGAGTTCCTAATTCAGTTAGAGAAGCTTCTAGAAGACCTTTTTATGCTAGAATTCTCAGAGATTAATGTGTGGAAAGGGAAAAGGCGGGAAAAATATTATAAATAGAAGTTAGAGGTTCAGAAAAGGGGATTTTGGTTCATTTTTGTTATTTTTCACTTTGTAACTGTTTTAACTTCCAAGGGAATTCAGAGAGAGAGAGAGAGAGAGAGATTGGGAGCGACTTTCAAGCTTCATTGCTAGAGGAATCAGTGTGAAGATTGGGTCTTAGAATATGTTCTTTTGCTTCTTGTCTTCTTCTTTTACTTCTCCTTCTTCTATTGTAATGTTGTTCTAAACCTTTTTGTTTAGGGATCTATGGATCTAAATTTGATGTTGTGATGTAATCATGGATTGGATCTTGAGATTTTAATTGAATTGAGTATATGATTCTGTTCTTAATGCAGTTGTGAACTAATCCGTCATTCAATTGAGTTTAGAGGAATCTTCATCAATGGAAATTGAGTTTATTTCTCATATTTGAATCATATGCCTAGGTTATTGAGATCTTAGGAATAAGTATCATGATCTAGTAATCCTATAATTTTCAGAACTTAATGCAGTATTTGATTAAATTTCACCTAAGGGATAAGGGAGGTTTAATTAGGTATTAGGATCAATGAGGTAAGGAATTGTCATTTGGTTAAAGAAGTGAAATTGATTATCAATCAATTAAAATTCTCAAGAGTTCAGAACATGATTACATTGCAATTGAAAATCTAGTGAAGTGATTCCTAACTATTTTCCATATAGCATTCTTAATACAAAATTCGTACTCTATTTTTATAGCAAGTTTATTACCTTTTATTGTTCTTATTTCTTACTTTTACATGTTACAAACTTTCAAAATGAATTGTATGGCTCAACTAATTGTTAAATTGTGAAGTGGTAATTGAAAATCAGATCCTTGTGGACGATACTTGGGGCTCATATTGATTTCCAAAATTTATTACTTACTACAACTACCTAGTGCACTTGCTAGTTAGTATCCCTCTCAAATTTTACATAATATTTACCTTATACACTCGACTGATTTAGAGTATGTCATGTGAGGATTGTAACATCCTGATTTTTACTCCCTCTATGTTCATATGTGTTAGTACAATTTTATTTGTTTCAAAAGTAATTGATGTATTTTAAAAAATTTCAAGATTTTGGTTAAAGAAGTTTTGAGATAAAAGTATTTATTTTTATTTCGTTAAAATAATTCATCTTTAAATACATGTTTGATTTATTTTTTAAAGATGAAATTTTTTAATATTTTGAATTATTTATATATCCTTTAACTATATTTGATTTCCAAGTTTCTTACACACCAACAAAGGTGGTATAGTGGTGGATAGGCTAGTCTTACCCTAAACTTGGAGGACCTAAGTTCAAGTCTTATTAAGAGCTGAATTTTGGTCTAACAAGGTTTTTCTTTC